TTCACCGTAAATATTAAAATTTACTTTCGGAAAATAGTCCTGTGTGCTGTATAGGTACTGTATGCTAATTTCCGTTATTAAAGTTAACTATGCGAAGTGATATGGAACTGTAATACGGTCAAGAGAGCTGCCTGGAACTACGTTCGCCGTGCGTTTCCCTGAAAATAATTGCACACCTCAGAACGTTCGTCAGCCAATCAGATTCAAGCATTCAACGGTCCCGTAGTATAAGTACAAATAAACAACTAAGTACTTGAAATAGTTTAAGTTGTGGGCCCTGAATCTATGAAAGTTTAATGTTTTGAATGGAATTATGGAAATAAATAAACTTTTCCATGATATTCTAATTTTTTGGAAAGGGTCTGTATGTTCAAATTCAGAGAGCCAGCTTGCAGGGTTGCCAACTTTTGCCAGCTGGCTGGAGTGAGATTATCAATTCGAGACACGTCTGCACTCACATACACACACATGTACATGTTTGTAACAGTTTTATTACCTTGTAAATAGTCTGTATGGTTTGCAATCTACCCAAACTACCACAAAGCATCCATGTTGGTATTTAAAGTGGACGCTAGTGAATCGATCATGCTCTGTGTGTCCAGAGCTGTGTGTACACAGCTGCACAGGCTCAGATTTGATGTGCAGCAGCCGTTCGTCCGCAGAGGTGCACAATGATGTCAAATGCATCATTAAACGTTCGAGTAGACATGTCCGCTAGAACGCATGCGGAGAAGAAGCAGCCTTAAGTCAGTGCTGAAATGTCACTTTGCTTTGAATTCAGAAGGGGGCAGCATAGCAACCCTTGCAGCCCTGCTAAAAGATGTCAGCTCAATGCTAATATGTTGAGGGTGGCTGTGAGACATCCTATAATTTTACCAGGCTGCATTAGTAAATTTGAAATAATTATGAATAACTTGCTTAATCAAACGTAGATCACACTGGTGACTAAAAAAGGAAATAGATCATATTTTTCTGAGTTTCTTTTAATACTGATTAGCCACATGAATGGAAGAAGACAGACCCTCTACTGGAGACAACCTTGAAGGAGATGTCATGTCATGTTTGTTTAAGCGATGATTTAATATCAACGCATTCATGAATGATTGTCTTCATCTTTGTGGTGCAAGCTGTAACATATCTCTGTTTGTCTAGATCAGGGGGGCCCAGTCCTGGGGGGCGGAGCCCTGTGTAGCTTAGTTCTTCCCCAGTTCCACCATAAATTATTCAGCTTAAGAGCTGTGTGGTAATTAGCACAAGGAGTCGAACCAGGTGTGTTAAATGAGGGGAAACCCAAAAATGTGCAGGGCTCCGGCCCCCCAGGACTGGAGTTGGGCACCCCTGGCCTAGATTTATGTGGGTGACTGTCAAGGAGCCGTCTCAAGAAACAGACATATTCATATAACCAATATGTGGATTCATACACAATCTAACAGCATTCCCATTACAAAGTACAAAAAAGACAAAAAATCTAATGTATGCATCCTTCCATATTATTAAATCCTTAAGCATAACTGCCAATACCAGTGCAGCCAATCAGCAGAAACCCAACATGAAAATCAAATGCTGAGACGTCAGGCAGACAGAAGCTGTGAGTTTTCTGTGGCTTCAGACGTATCTGGGACATGTGGGCATGGTCTTCGCATCACGCGATTCCCGTCTTTAACGAAAAAGGAGAGCATTTTCAGGGCTAAAAGGTCGCCGTTGTGAGTGAGATAAGACGGGCCCGCAATGACAGCTGTGTTTTTCAGCCAGATTGCACAACCTAGTGCGCTTACAGCTATGAGTACCTGCACGGTTGGGGCTCTGCTCTGTTCTGGCATTAAACAAACCCCTGATAAATGCGAGTTTTACTCCTCAGCTGTTTTTTACATCTAAATTGGGATTGACATTGACACAGAAGGAGGGTTTGAGGCATTCTCACTCAAATGAAATTCAGAAAATAAATGACAACAAATTAGCATATTCCTAGTCACATTCTGTCAATGAATGCACTAGATTAGGTTCAGCACATACTGTGGTGTTTACATTACATCTGACTGTAATTCCCTCAAAAAGTACCAAAAACTTACTGTGATCTGTGATCTACACCCTAGGTAACCAGTGAAGCAAATTCAAATAATTACTATTAATGAATTCAAATATGCTATCTGTCATTCATTTCTGAGCCCAGCTGCAGTAAATGTGAGGAAGGTCTGATGTGATCATCTGATTCGAGCAGTTTCCCAGCTTCTTTGGTGGTATTCTCACGGTTTAGATGTTCCTCAGTTCAGGTTCTCCACAGCTTCTTACCATGACGGCAGCCTTACCTGTCTCTTGCGCATGCAGGTTCCACACAGACACCCGAACAGGCCGTTGAAGACCTGCAGGAGACACAGGAGAACCTCCAAGCCCCCCAAGATCAGCAGGATGGAGAAGAGGGTGATGTTCCAAAGAACGACATTCCTGGGCTTCTCACACTCATCCCAGAGGGTCCGATTGAACAAGTAACTTTGGCTGTGGGGTGGGGAGGGGTGGGAACAGACACATGCAGGGGCAAGTCATGAATTCCTGTAGAAGAAGCGGTTTTGGTCAGCTGCGACATACGAGGGTGAAATATGAAACTGCAGAGGAAAACAGAAACAAGCACAGCTGTGTCAATGTCAGCGCCCCTTGGGATGGACGGCTCACAGGCGCCCGGGACCTTACTCTTGAGTCCGGTTGAGGAAGGGGTACTCAAGGACCCCGCTGCTCGTCCAGCAGAGGGGCCCGTCTCGGAGGCCGATGGCCGCGACCACCATGCAGTACAGCGAGCCCACGGCGCCCACTGCCGACATCACTATGGAAACCATCATCTGGGGAGAAACAACGGCCAGCCCTTTTTAGTTTAGCCCCTACTCTAACCCCAAAAGGTCTCAGAAATTCTCTGCTTTTGTCAACTGACCCCTCCACCATTATTAGGGAAAAAGCTGAGCCCTATTACTGGTTGTCCTTCCATGCTGATTTGGATATGGGGGTGGTATTGTGACACGGTACCCTTATACCTCCACTCTGCATGTATAGATGTTCTCGCATGTTCTCGTATGTTCTCATGTGGGTCTCCTCTGAGTACTCCAGTTCCTTGTAGGATGACCACCTATTCCGTGTCAGTGAGGACATTTTGAGCTACTTTAGGTTTCACAAGCTACTTTAAAACTGAAAGGCTCATGTGCTTGGCTAAATAGTTAAGTTCTCCTTGTGCTTTGACTGGTTTGTTTCCTTGGAAGATTCATCCAGCTGTCTCACATTAACATTAGTGACACATACATGATTATAGGTGACTGGCCAATCAGCACACAGCGAGACCCTGGTGCATAAGTGAAGTATGGGCCCTGTTAATTGAATTTAGTGATCGGAGGTCATTGTTGACACCACAGCACACAGCAACAAAATGTGTTCTATGTATTTAACCCATATGTGACGTCATGACAGAGCAGGGTCAAATGAAATAGATTAGTAAAGATAACCAGTAATGATTTGTAAGTATTGATTTCACATACTTCCGTATCAGCAGTCAAAGACCAGGATATCTTTCTCCGGAAATACTCCTTGGTCTGTTTTTACAACACATGGCTCTCTCATAAACATCATAAAGGTAAATTACTCCTGGAATTAGGTTTATTACCAAGGAAAGGGAGTGCTGAGATTATTCTCTTGGCTGTCCATAAAACAAGCCAGATCTTTCTGCCCGGCGAGGCACCCAGATGCCCAGCCAAAGCCCAGCAGGCCACAGCATGACCCCCCCGCACCCCCCGCATGGCCATCATGTCACTTACCCCACACCGGTTAGCGCAACAGCCATCTTCACTCCCTGCGGCCCTCATCACCACGGCAGGCAGAAACACCTGCATCAGATCACCAGGTTACCATCAGACCCGGCAACATGCACATCATGCCTGTACAAGCACTAGCCAGCAGGTGGCGCTTGGTTGCGATGCTTGGTGAGATGTAAAACCTCTGTTCCTGCAGGAAAACATGCAGCAATCCTGTATGTATTTTGTTTGCATGCACTGTTTCTCTGATTCCCTTCCTCACTCGAAAGACATGCAGTCAGGCTAATTAGTGACTCTGAACTGTCCGTATTTTATGGGCTGCCACCCCTCATGACCCTGCCCAGGATAACCAGATGGATGTTAATTATATGGGCAAAATAATGCATTTCCATTCCACAGCGGAGGTGCATGACCTTTTCAGGACAAACTCTGTGACAGCAGCAGTGAGTCATCCAGTTAATGAATAAATGGGAAGGTTATGAATCAGGCTATGAAGAGGTGCTCACTTGTTCACCTAACTTTGTCCATTTGATCTGAGCCAATGAGGTTGTCTATTTGATGTGAGCCAATGAGATTTTCCATTTTGTGTGACCAGTAAGGCTGTCCATTAGTCAGAGCCAGTGAGATTGTCCCTTTGGTCATGAGACTGACTTTGTATCACTACTTCATAATTATAACTATTTTCCCATCTCTCTCTCTTTTCACAGGTTAATGAAACACGCAAAGGTGTGACGTGTTAAACTTTCTTTGAGATAAAACTTAAAATAAACTGGCAAAATTTTTTAAATATTATTAAGGACTAAACATCCAGCTTCTCATGACTTAATGCGCAGTCAGGGTTCTGCAAAGGTTCCTGGTTTCTAAGGGGGCTATTAGCAGTATTGCTTACCAGAAACCCCCCTCCAATAATGCCACTGAACAGCCACACATGGCCAGTGATGTGATCTTTGTCCAGAACTTCCCCATTTGGAAAGAAGAGGAGGATGTTGGCCACAATAGCGCACAGGCCGAGAGGAAACAGCAGGTCCCCCAAACATCTGGCACATCTTCCGGTGCACATTGTGAATCTGGAGAAAGAAATGAAACCCAGCAGGATGGAACATCCCTCAGCACTGACGGGAAGAGAGCCCAGCACGAGCCGGGTTAGGAGGCTGTATAGATTTTTGTTATTTACACAGACGAATCAAATACTTTTTGTCAAAGAATTTGGCTGGTCGCACGTAACGTCGCAGCAAAGGTTTCCTGCAGCTCCGCACAAATTCCCAGCATTATTTTCCTAACGTTGGAGATGAGCAGTAAGCCTGTGAGCCCTACCTGCTGAAAGTGATCCGTCTCTCTCGCCGGAGGAGGTCCGGCCGCGGGATCGAGCACCCCGAGCAGCCACGGGTCGGCCCAGACAGAGCGGGACCTTTCAGGAGGGTTGTTGAGAAGCGTCCAGCTCTGCGATCCACCCGGGAGTGAGTAATATGAGCAAACATGAAGGACAGTGGCATCTTTGTCCCCCTGGTCAATGCCCCCGTCACGGCTCCAATCAGAATGCGCCATACCTGCCTGCTGCATTCTACGCCTCCCAGTTTAAACTGGGCCAAGTGCTGATATGTTATGGGCACATACAGGCACATAATGTATAAATGCATTTTGTTTTCATATAGATCTTTTTATTGTATGACAGCAGGTGAGATCTCCCTGTAAAATCTGGGGGGGAGGGGGGGGGTTCTAATCTAAAAATAATAATAATAATTAAGTGCTTGAAGAAAGTATACAGGGTCATATGACACATTTACAAATGAGAAAATCTGCAAAACATTTACAAAAGTCTCCAGATACGAATAAATACACTATTTACAGCCAACAGTCGGCTTGGATACAGCGGTAAAGGAACAATGGGCATTTCTTCAGCACGCTGAGGGGGGGTGAGCACGTGTAGGAGGGGACCACATGACCTTCCGTGCACTATGAATAACATAACGTAATCATTTGTGTGTGTGTGTGTGTGTATGTGTGTAAGTGTGGGAGAGTGGCTGTNTACAGCGGTAAAGGAACAATGGGCATTTCTTCAGCACGCTGAGGGGGGGTGAGCACGTGTAGGAGGGGACCACATGACCTTCCGTGCACTATGAACATGTTCACGTAATAATGTGTGTGTGTGTGTGTGTGTGTGTATGTGTGTAAGTGTGGGAGAGTGGCTGTCTGTAGTCTTAACGCAGTTATGTTAACTTAAAAAGAATGACGTCGGAAATGTTACAAGTGCCTTTTAAGAGGCGTGGGACCCAGCGTGACTAGCGGAAAGCGACATGGTGACATTTGTCCTGGGAGGACTGTCACGTAGGTTAAAGGGTGCCGCCCCGGGGTTAGGGGATTATCGGAGTGTTTAGAAACTTTAGATAGCAGAGCGCAGAAAGTGATGCATTGGGCGGCGCTGTTTTGTGTAATTAATAGATATAGACATTTCTTAAGCCATATCTGCTTATATATGGCCATCATAGAGAAGTTAAGCATTCATAAAGTCCAAAATATGTTTAAGCGTCACTAGTAGCCTCAGCTGCCATCGGCCTCTCATACTGCTATTTGATCGTATTTAGTCAGCGCTGAATATCGAAACGCGTCCGGATGCCGGGGGTCGGTGATAGTGCTCCGGATCGGGAATAATGATTTTGTGGTCGCTGGCGGCGATGCCGGAGATCCGCCGCAGCCCCGGTGTGACCCATGTGGCCATTGAGCGGCGCTGCCTGGGCGGAGTCACGCCAGTCCTAGATACTTCAGATCGGCACTGTTGATGCATGAGCACCTTAAAATAATCTCCGCATGATAGCTTTCGGAGATTCAGCTGAAACGCAATTAAAAAAGAAATACAGCAGCTGAGCATCCGTTGGTGCGATGGGACGCCCGACGAGCCGCTGGATCATCCACTTCTGGATCCTTTGCCTCGGTTTCCCGGCCGTACAGGGCGCCATCAGGAGGTACTTCATGGGCATCACGGAGGAAACGTGGGACTATGCGCCGACCGGCGACAACCTGGTCAGCGCCGAAGAAACTGAGAAAGTCCAGTGAGTTTTTGAAACATTATTCATAATAGAGGTACATTTTTAATCTAACACTTTTAACATATTGTACAGCTGCTTCTAGCACTTTTGCAATATTTTGCGCTTATGGATTAGATGCCAGACTGCATTTCGTTGTCTGAATACTTGTACTTTGTGCAATCAGCAATGACAGTAAAATGAAATTTAATGTAAATTCTCTAATTTCCAGTTGCGCACCTGAAATTTAAGCAAATCCTTTCGGACCGTAATGCGATTAAAGTGATATAAATCACTTTTATAATCATTAAGCAGAATAATGTACACTATGTTACTAGGAAGGAAGAATATATTTTTTAAAAACTGCGCGGGTTTTTGTAATAATTTGTGGTTGTCGGCGCAGAACGTTGACTTTTCAAACTTTTTGCATGTCGGTCTTTACAGGCATGCAGCTACTTTTCTGGAACAGCGTCCTCACCGAATTGGAAGCCAGTATAAAAAAGCTGTATACAAGCAGTTCAGAGACGCGGGTTACTCGGAAGAAGTGGACAAACCAGCCTGGCTGGGCTTTCTTGGCCCCGTTCTCAAGGCGGAGGTGGGCGACGTGATAGTCGTCCACTTGAAGAATTTCGCCTCCAGGTCTTACTCCCTCCATCCTCATGGTGTCTTCTATGAGAAGGACTCTGAAGGTAAAGGCGCTCACACGTGCGCGCTCAAACGTGCACACTCGCACATGCAGCTAAGCTCGTGGCCGCTTCTGGCCTGTGGAGTTTCTGGTGGTGTTCCCAGGCGTAATGGCCATAGGCTTTGAGTGTGTTCCCAGGGTTCCATGGAAATGTGTCAGGCTTCCCCATGACAGACCTGCATCCAGTCAAGGTTTATCCTGACTCAGGTCCTGTTCTCCATGGCTCGGTGCCTATAATTGGGTAAGGATTTACTGAAAGCAGCTAAAAAACAAAAGGCTTCTTTAAATAACATAAACAAAACACAAAAAGGGAACAAACAGCAAACCGAAACCATCATAAGATAACATCAGAGCCGCCTCGACAACGGCGGAGACTATGCATGCTGATTCTCCAGAGGAGAGTTCCTCCTCCGTATCTCTCACATCTCCTCACCCACTCCATCAGCCCTCAGAGGAACCCTAACGTAGGACGAGGAGTCTGGCTTTCACTGATAGGGTCATCTAGCAGGATCAGGGCTGGAGATCGCTGGCATGGTAACACAGACTCAGCTAAGATTACATGCAGATAAACTGAGTTTGAAAGTTGAACAGCTGTGTTTGGGGTATTGGAAAATGGACATTGTGAACCTTGGTGTGGAATGAAGACAGAAGTGGTTTTGTGAGCCTCACGATCATGTTTTTCATGCGTACTGTTCCTGCACTGGACTGTTGCAGTGGCAGGTCCCCGACACTGTAGCGCATAAGATGGACAAACTGCATTTCTAGCAAAACTAAGCAAAGCAAGTTTCTTTGTAATTCACATTTCATACCATTGGGCAATTCAAAGTGGTTTACATGATAAGGATAAGATACTACAAAGGAATAAAATTCAATAAAATAATAAAATACAGTGAAATGGTAGAATGTTGAAACGGGGGGGCAGAGCCATGGCCGAAATGCGACACTAAGTGTTTGGCATTTGTCCTGCACAGGCAGCCCTCCTGAAAGCGGAGGTGGGGTGGGGGGTGGAATTTAAGACCAGATAATTCCGGGGGGAGACACAGAGAGAGTTGGGGTTGGCCAGCAAGTCTGAGAGTTTGTAGGAAAACCGTGTTCAGTCGGGCCACAAAACTGCGTCATTCAGAGACACAGCTGGGGGCTAAAGGGAGCCACTGGGCAACTGGCAGGTAACTCTGTACTGTGGCTTTTCATTCGCCTGAATGGCAGCCCGGACTGAATATTTTATATTCAGGCTGAGTACTTTATCCAAAGGTATGAACACGCACCCAGTGCCAGGTGAAGCCCATGTGACTCCCAAGACACGGTCCGTGGGCACTGAGGACAGAGGGGGTGGACTGTCAGGGAAGTGCTGTCATTCTGGAAGCCATCTTGCCGTTTTTAAGCCAAGCAACAACATTCTACAGCTACATTCTCACAAATTAGCCTCAAATAAAGTGTTTTATATCTGGCTTCTTCATTCAGAGTTTGTGGTGTAAGAGCGCCTCTCAGTGGACGTTCCTCCCCTCTCTGGACCTCAGCTCCGGTACCCGGATCCCGTGGCCTGGACCATTTGCAGTCCCTGACGGCCCTTTTGAATCCTGCATCCCATGCTGACACTGAAACGGCTAACCTTTTGTTTCCACCTCCACCGTGGATCGTGATTCTAAACAAAAATATCGTGATTAGATGTTTTGGCCATATCGCCCTTATAAAAAACACAGTGAAACAAAATACCGTTCCTGTTGGACCCAGGGTGAAAAATTCATGACAGAGGTTTATGGAAAATTTACCAAAAAGATCCTATACAATTAATAATTTAAGGGGATGAGAGACTACTGCCGATCTAACATACATACCTAGCATGAAGATCCTGCATTCGGCAGGCACTCTGCACACACTGGGAAGTCAGGGCCTGGAAGTGCTGACCAAATTGAAAGTGAGAGTGCAGTAAGCAGTGTTTTCCAGTGTGTTTGTTCATTCTGCAGCACATGTGGGTGGGGACTGTTTCTCTGACCTGTTGAATCCAGTCAATTGCTGATATCATCCAACTTCGTTCCACTTACAAAAGCACTTTAGCTCATAGGACTCATGAAAAATTTATAGCCATAAGGTGGAGACTCGTCTCAAGGGTTACAAACACTGAACTTGCGGTCACTGTGTGATGTAACAAGGATTCCAGGTTAAACATGCACCGAGTTATGAGGTCACAGTATCTTCTCTGAGTTTCCCCGGTTCTGTTTGTCTCTCTCAGGGGCTCTGTACCCAGATGGAACCTCGGGGGAGCTGAAGCATGACGACAGAGTGCCCCCGGGTGGGAACCACACCTACACCTGGACTGTGAAGCCTCAGTTTGCACCCACCGCCGGGGACCCCAACTGCCTGACCTGGGCGTATCACTCCCACGTGGACGCCCCCCGTGACATCGCCTCTGGGCTCATCGGCGCCATCCTCACCTGCAGGAAAGGTGCTGCCACTGCACTCAGAAAGGGTCACAAAGCCCAGCATTTAAAACACATCTTTCCTACCAGCAAGTTTACATGTCGAGTATTAGTCAATAGTTTGGACACGCCAAGCCACCTACAAAGCAGAGTGATAGGCTCACATCACATGACCTGACCACCTGACCTAAACACAATAGAAATTGTTTTGGATGAGTTTGACCACAGAATGAAGGAAAAGCGGCCAATGAGAGCTCAGCATATATGTGGGACCTCCTTCAGGAGCTGGAAAGACATCCCAGGTCACCTCATGGAACTGGCAAGAGAAAGCAGGGTCCCCCAGTCCCTGGAGCGACTGGGGTTAAGGGCCCAATGGTGGGATCACTCTGCTGACCACAGGGATTTGAACAGGCAACCTTCTGGGTCCCAACCCACAGAACTGCCCTCACAATATTTTTTTTTTGTTAAACACTTTTTTGATCATGTTATTTTATAATTATGATGTCTTTATAATTATTATAAAATTTAGAGAAGAGTACCAATAAACTTTTCTATTGGTAGGCGTGTGCAAACTTTTGACTGTACTGTAGTTCCTCAACTAACTCTGATTCAAAGTATATTCTTACTTATTTATTTAAAAATAATCAACATGGTTTGTTGTGGAAAATTCTGGAAATGTTCATTCATCCTCTTGTAGTTTTATTTGGGACAGTTGATTTTTTGCATGATGCACTGAAGATGTGTGTATGGAAACAGCAGCTTCAACCCCCCCTTCGAGGCTGACCCCCTGGGATCTTGGCTGCATTGGGGGGGGGGGGGGTGTCACTGTGCCCATTCTCAGGGGCAGGTTTGATGTTTTTGCGGTCCCAATCATAAGTAATTTTGGGGCCCCTGTACCAACAGGGGGCCCTAAACCTCATGGGCTCTATGCGACTGCATGGTTTGAGTGGCAGTAAACAGCACCACTGCTCATTCTCTGCAGGCGTCCTACGGCACAGGTCACAAGGGCATGCCCAGCTGGAGCGGGTCGACGTCGACCACGACTTCCTTCTCCTGTTCAGCGTTATGGACGAGAACCTCAGCTGGTACCTGGAGGAGAACGTCCAGGCTTTCTGTTCCGAGCCCACAGGCGTGGACCTGGAGGACGAGGACTTTAAGGAGTCGAACCAAATGCACGGTGCGTGACTCACCCGAAGGAACCCCAGGCCCGCTGATGCTAACACCGGCCGTCGCTAATAACACTAACATTTCAGATTTAACATTGCGTGTGAGGAAAGGGGGGGGGGGGCACTGAGATGGTCCTGCACTCCAGAGAAGACGTGGCAGCCCTCCTTCATGTTCCCACACTCCTCACGGCCCCTAGGGTTCATTTACTTAGCTTGTCCTTCGACCCAAAATCCTCTTTAATCATTAGGTGATGATTGGCTGCTGTGAGAAATTAGACTAGAAGCCATTTTTAAAGTATGTGTAATGTTTAAAGTTTCTGATTAAATAACCCATAACGCTGAGGTCAGTTGCTGCAGTTTTTGAAGAGACAGTTTCTGACGTCTAGGGTCGTCTTGCTCGTCCAGTAGAATAGAATAGTGATGCCTACTCACAATTTACTCTCCATGAGATACACAGACACATACAGGTGAGAGCAGGCTTGGGGGTCACAGAGCAGGTCAGTCAGAATGCAGCGCACCTGGAGCTGGGGGTTAAGGGCCAAGGGCACAACAGCGGCATATGTGTACCGGCCCTGGGATTTGAACTGGCGCCCACCCGAGCACAGGCACTTCTATCTCACTGAGCCACACTGTCCCCAGTGAATGTGCAAAATGATCCGTTTGAGGCGTGTAGCCAATGTCTGATATGGACTCTGGAGTCCTGAGTCTGGCGCTCTGCACTTCTGTCAGCCAGTGACGATAAGCTGGCTCCACAGGAAACGTCACACCCATCATAAGAAATTATCAGCAAATGGGGGCATCCATGTGTCACACGAACGCGGAACGAGTCACAACTGGGCTTGTGGCTCCCTTTCTCTGACTGCATATCGAAACAAATGAAACACAGACAAACCTTATGATAACACAAACAATAATTTGTCCTCTGTCAGCTGCATATGATGCCCTCCCAGCTTAAAAAGATTACGTGTTTATAGATCAAAATAAAGAAGGCTTATGTCTCAAGAGTTCAGCCATCTAAGCTGTTTATATTATGAAATTCTATGTGTAATAATAATATGCTTATCTTCTATTCAGATGGCTTCACCCCCAAAATTACGATTCTTCCTATGCAAGGCCATAGACCAAGTTTGAAAAATAGTGAGGTTTGGGTCTTGGGTTACAGTATAGTTTAGGTTCCAGGAGGGCATGTGGAGCTATTACAGTATATCAATGTGCTTTACTGACTGAATTTAGGTCTATATCATGAGTGTTATAGAGCAATAAAGTATTATGGGTATACAGCATGTAATTTAAGGTTATTTGTAATCATATATGAACATAAAAATGAGAAAAATTCTTATTAACACACTTCAGAAGCTAACATCAAATACACATATTTTGATATCCAAAGTTGGCTTTGAAATGTTTCTATGGACACTATTACTAATACTGTCGCCTTCATAAGCTGGTCATTATTATTTTTTATTAGTGACATCATAATTTACGCCCAAGGTTAGCCTAACCTAGTCCATAAAGTGTGATGTGAAAGAAACCCAACCATTAACATGGCTAGAGTAGCCTAGCCTAGCTTCCTCTCTCACACACGCAGCAGACACTATTAATAACACATTTGAACTAGTGATGCGCGGGTCGTCTCGTAACCCGCAGACCCTGCGGGTCGGGTTGGGGCGGGTAAAGAAATTGTCACTTTATTTGCGGGGTGGGTTGGGGCAGGTCATTAAAAACAAAATTAAATTAAATTAAAAATCCATGTATGTTGCGTGCAATTCCCTATAGCCTATATTAAATATTTGGGAATATCTATTTTCATATTTTATTAAGTTCTTTGATAAGGTTACGTCACGTGACAAGTCACGAAAGCACCAAGCAGTAGTGATGCGCGGGTCGTCGGGATGTTTTGCAGTGGCATGGTGCAGTGGCATGGTGCAGTGGCATGGTGCAGTGGTTGGCAGTGGTACCTCACACCTCTGGGTCTCCACCATGGCTCCATGTGTGTGGAGTTTGCCTGTGCCCTGCAATGGGCTGCTGCCCCATTCTGGGTTGTTCCCTGTCTTATTCCCACAGGCTCCAGAACCCCTGTGACCCTGAATGGGTGTAGAAAATGGCTGAATGTTCTGTGGATGTACCTTTTCCCAGTGGGTGTGCAGTGAGACTGCTCCTGGGATTCACCACGTATCATTGAGCTTCTGTCTCTGCTGGGGCTCCTTTGACCCGCAGCTATCAACGGCTACGTCTACGGCAACCTGCCCGCCTTGGAGATGTGCGTGAACAGGACGGTGTCGTGGCACCTCCTCGGAATGGGCAACGAGGTGGATATCCACTCGGTCCACTTCCACGGCCACACCGTGTTGAACCTGGGCCACCGGGCCGACGTCCTCAGCCTGTTCCCAGCCGTCTTCGTCACAGCGGAGATGATCACCCAGACGGCCGGCCAGTGGATGCTCAGCTGCCAAGTAAACGACCACATAGAAGGTATGAAGGAGCGTGTCTGTGATTAGGAAGCACTGCTGTGGTCAGGAGGGCTTTGTGATGTCTGTAAGGATGCAGTCCTAACACAGTGACTACCTTTGGTGTCTGTTTTCAAAGCTGGGATGCAGGCCTTTTACAATGTCTTGTCCTGTGGAGAGGATGATCACCAAGTACCCCCTAGTGGCAGGGAGAGGCAGTACTTCATTGCTGCTGAGGAGATCTTATGGGACTATGGTCCACTGAACATCAACCCCTTTCTCAATGTGTCGCTCAGCGACACTGAGAGGTGCGCTGAACTTCCAGGCTATTGCAGTCTGACAGTCCTAGGCTTCTGTGTTAAGGATTGGTCCCAAATTTTGGTTTGTGTATTTATACACTTGTGATGCATTTTTTTTTCTCTTGTGTTTCAGTCAGTCTGAAGTATATTTTGGAAAGAGTAATGGCAGATTGGGAGGAACTTACTGGAAAGCCCATTTTGTGGAGTACACAGACAAGACCTTCACCATGAAACACGGGAGCAATCGTGGCACAGAGAACCACCTCGGCATTCTGGGTACGTCTGACTGCTGTCGGTCTCGTTGCCTTGGCAGCCGTGCCGGCGTTGTGTCCCCCGTTGGCACCATTGCCATTTTCCTTTCAGGGCCCGTGATCAGAGCAGAGGTGGGCGATGTCCTTAAGGTGGTCTTCATGAACAAGGCCAGCTGGCCCTTCAGCATCCAGCCCCACGGTCTGCAATATGACCCAATGTACGAAGGAACCCCCTACAGAAAAGGTAGGGCCCCCTCTTGGCCAATATAATGACCACACTGCCTCCCCGTACCCAGAATGCACCAGCTAACTGCACTCCTCCTCTCCCCGACCTGCAACAGACACCATGCAAGGCTCGTCGGTGTCGCCCGGTCAAAGATTCACATACAGATGGAAAGTTCTGGAAGGCCCCTCAGTCAGCGACCCCCCATGCATCTCCTACCTGTACTACTCAGCCACCGATTCCATACAGGACACCAACTCTGGGCTGGTGGGCCCCCTGCTGGTGTGTAAGAAGGGAGTACTGGGTGACGATGACTTGCAGGTATGACCCCCCACATTTTGGTGTTACTGTCGTTCTTGTTGTTATTTATCTCTGCCATCCCTCTGCACATAGTGCACTTTGGTCACGGGTTTCCTGAGGCGGGTTCTGGCATTTCACAGACACTGAGATTCTGTGTTTCTGTACTTTCGCAGATGGGCATCAGCAAAGAGTTCTTCCTCCTCTTCTCCGTGATAGATGAGAACCAGAGCTGGTACCTGAGCAGGAACATCCATGAGTTTGGTGATGGCAACACGAACGTCATGGATGAAGACTTTCAGGAGAGCAACATGATGCACGGTATTTCCGGGTTTCTTTACTCAAAGCCGGTTCCGGTTCTCATTCTCGCACCGGCGCACAAAGAACTGTTCGTACTTCTGAGGTCAAGTCCGCGTAGAATGTTTGGGAGGGACAGTGCTGGAAAAGTACTCAATATTCAGACTTAAATAAAAGTACAGTTACTACACCAAGATGTTACTCAAGTAAAAGTCGTGCAGTAAAATATTACTCAAGTACTCAATACTACTTAAGCAAAAAGTACTACACATTAAAATCAATTGATCTTCCAAAAAAGCAACCTATCATTTAAAATTCACTTTTAAATTCAAGTTATAGTGCGGCACAAGGAAATCTGAGTATACATATATTTTCTTTTTTTAATGGTAAAACCTGTCAAGTTTGCTGGCCAGTTTCCTCCCCCCAAATACATTCTGGTCATGCAGAATGTATCAGGCAGGAGGACAGAACAATACTCAGAACAGAGAAGTATGCACAATGGGTGAGGACTGATGCAGTCGGCGGCCACATGGACACAAAATGTCGGTGCTGCAAGTGTTTGACTTCAGATGAAGTGCATTTACATCGATCGCATCATATGCATAAGCGCATTTCCGCATGCGGAGAAGTAAGGACCATCCTTGGAGCAGACTGCCCTGCCTGCTCACCATGCCGCTGATGTCTTCCAGTGTTGCCTGGGTGACCATCACTGACGGCCCAGTGTGGTGCCGGGGGCGTAGCTGACTGTGTGTGACTGTGTCTCCTCTGTGCCTGTGTGTGTCGATGCAGCGCTGAACGGCTACATGTACGGGAACCTTCCGGGCCTGGACATGTGTGCCGGGAAGCCCATCACCTGGCACGTGCTGGGCCTGGGCAGCGAGGCAGACATCCACGGCGTGTACTTCCAGGGAAACAGCTTCCGCAGGGAGGGCACGACCCGGGACACCCTCAGTGTCTTCCCTCACACCTCGGTGACTGTGCTCATGGAGCCCCGTAAGGAGGGTAAGGAGGGGAGGGCTGCTAGCTCCACTTTAACTAGGCTTACTCTCATGGCTGGAGTCGCTCCGCACGTAGACTTGCGCCCCCCCCATTTCCGATCTCCTGCGTCCCACAGGCACATTCGAGGTCAGCTGCAGGACGAGCGATCACTATCGGGCTGGGATGCAGCACCACTACACGGTGAGGAGGTGTTCAGGGGACCGGGTCAGGACCGACAGCGCCCCCACCTCCGTGCTGCGCTACTTCATCGCTGCCGAGGAAGTAGAATGGGACTACTCCCCAAGCCGGGACTGGGAGCTGGAGAAGCACATGGCCACAGAGGCGAGCAGGTACTGCGTCACATGGCCACAGAGGCGAGCAGGTACTGCGTCACATGGCCACAGTGGGCAACAGGCATGGTGTCATATGACCACAGTGGTGAACAGGTGCCGTGTCACATGATTACAATGGGGAGCAGGTATTGTGTCACATGATCACAGTGTGGCACAAGTACCGTGTCACATGATTACAGTGGGGAACAGGTATGGTGTCACATGACCACAGTGTGGAATAGGTACCGTGTCACATAATCACAGTGTGGCACAAGTACCGTGTCACATGATTACAGTGGGGAACAGGTATGGTGTCACATGACCACAGTGTGGAATAGGTACCGTGTCACATGGCCACTGTATGAATCCAGGAGATTTAACAGATTTCATAGATTTAATGGAAGGAGCAGGGAGAACAGAAGAGAGACTGTAGGGCAATAATGATGGGATGGGGTAAGAATGTGAGCGCTTACAGTCAGACACCCCCCCAGCGTCAAAGTGTTTCATGTTACTGAACTGTCACACAGTTTAACTAAAAGGGTAACCGTCACTGCCTGAGGTCACGTGGGGGGGAGGGGGTGCCAATCAGCTTTCAAAGTGCCTGGCCCCACCACGGTTCCGGGACCGCCTTAGACAGTTTGAAGAGCACGCCCATGTCACTCACGTTCCCGTGGTTACGACCCGCCAGCGCGCCCATGTCACTCACGTTCCCGTGGTTACGACCCGCCAGCGCGCCCATGTCACTCACGTTCCCGTGGTTACGACCCGCCAGAGCGCCCATGTCACTCACGTTCCCGTGGTTACGACCCGCCAGAGCGCCCATGTCACTCACATTCCCGTGGTTACGACCCGCCACACTTTGGGCTTTTTTAGATGGATCGTTGGGCTCTTCACATTTGCACTCACCAGTCACCTGCTGGGATTCCTATTTTTTTTAGATGTTTTTCCACTATATTCATCGTTACCATACTGGAGAATTTTTTCTGTTTTTGATCCCCCTTCAGCAAATCCACTCTTACCGCACCCCCGTAAAAATGTACCATATTAATTAAAGTATGTTTGTTAAACGGGTACATCAATCGAGGGCATCTGAGTCAGCATTCGCCCAAAGCATTTCATTTTCATGTTCCATTTCAGTCCTGGGAATATGTTTGTCCAAAGAACAGAGAACTGGATCGGCTCCAAGTACAAAAAAGTGGTGTTCAGGGAGTACACCGACGCCACCTTCAGGACGAGGAAGGAAAGGGAGCCGCACGAGCAGCACCTGGAGATACTGGGTAATGTCAAATCCTTGTATCCCCACTGATGTCAAATACAAGTGAAGACAAGTGCAAAATATTTACACAGCCAAAAATGTATTGCGCGTACAGCAGGAACAGATCATATACAGAGAAACCCTTTCTGATTGGACCGTTCATTTGTCCTGCATCTGTATTCCTGCACCCTCTTGCTGTCTGGAGACTGTTGTAGGTTTTCTGCTCAACAGAAACAGCTCATCTGTTAAATAGTTAAACCTCCAACCAGTCACCACGGCAGCACAGTCAGTGTAGTGAAGACCGTGAAGTTTTCATCGCAAAGCAGCATTCAAATCCAACATCTGAGCCATAAGCCAAACAGAAACGTGGACGTCACTTAAACGGGCGCTACAGTGACAGACCGGCCAAACAGCCTTGGGACAGGCAGGCACCGTGTGACACACCCCGTGTCATCTGTGTGACACACCCCTGGGGTGACACACCTGCCCTACGAGTTTTCAGGCCAGAAACGCATTGCTTTAAGTGACATTTCAAACGCTCAAAAGGAGCGACTTTATGCAAAACAAATCCCTCCTGCAGGCCCAATCATCCGAGCAGAGGTGGGCGAGCGGCTGCTGGTGAACTTCAAGAACAAAGCCAGCTGGCCGTTCTCCATGCACGCCCATGGGGTGGAGACGGACCCCACGCCGCCGCGACCCGTGAAGCCAGGTGGGTCGGGGAACGCAAGGTCTTCATGCCAAAACTGGATCAAACAGCACGATGGTTTGCTGGCGCTGCAGGCAAACTCCCACCTGTCAGCCCCTCGGCTTCCGAGTCGAGAACAGCCCTGTACTTTAATGTCACAATCAGCCACGGTCTAGTCACATGATACCCAAATCCATGCTGGGGGCGCAGCTTCTCTGCTCTTGTGCGGACTGCAGGCTTTGCTGGGTGACATGGTGCAGAGAGGGAACGCCATCGACTTGTCTTGCAGACGGAGCATCAAACCCATAGACACCCATTTGCCATATCCCACCTTCCCCTCCTTTGAGACATAAACACACTGGTTACAGCTTAGCTTGGGATCTGAGCACAGGGTCAGCCTTTTACCCAGAAATCCTGGAGCATTTTTTTTTGGGGGGGGGGGGGGTGGTAAGGGCCTCGCTCAAGGACCCAACGGATATGACACTATTCTGCCGATCGCAGGATCCAAGCCAGCGGCTTTCTGACGGCAGGAGGCTCTACCCGCTGAGCCGCCACCGCTCACAGGAAGGCACCGTTGGCCATTTTTACTCTTTACATTTTTACATACATTTACGTCTCTTTTTTCATGTCACCAACAGGACAAACAAAACAGTATAAGTGGGATATACCAGAAGATTATGGCCCTGGGTTCTCAGACCCCAATTGCATCTCGTTTGCATATTACTCAACTGCAGATTTTGTTAAGGTAGGTGAATAGCTTACAAGCTAGACTGTCAGCACAAGCCAATGTAACCGGTATGAGAAGATCAGTCTCCTTTTCCCCATCCCAGGACATGGCCAGCGGGCTGATCGGACCCCTGGTCATCTGCCGTAGGGGCACGCTGGATGAGGCCAGGCGTAGGAAGGATGTGGACAAGGAGTTCGCTCTGCTCTTCATGGTGTTCGACGAGAACGAGTCCTGGTATCTGGAGGACAACGTGAAGACGTACCTCGGCAGAGAGTTGGACGGCATCAGCATGGACGAAGATTTCCAGGAGAGCAACAAGATGCACGGTAACGTCGTCATCTGTTCTGTTCTGTTCTGTTCAGGAGCTGCTTGTCCAATTAGGACTTCATGGAGATATTCATCTATGTATCTCCTTAACTTGTCATTCCCAGCGGCCCCGCCCGGGGGTCCAGTGTGACAGTGGTGTTATACTACACAACGTTATGTCAGATTATCAGTACTTACCCATATAAATGGGCTGTCGTTCAATCCTATAGAATCGACTGGGAATATGAGGATAAAGCCAGTTAGATAGTCACACTGGGCTTGACTCAGCTCAGTGAGCAGCTCACACTCATATTCAGCAAATCAGGATATGGATCCAGAGAGTTCTCTGCATTAGGGAGTGCTACCTGCTGTGTGATTGTTCAGTGGTGAATATGCAGAACCTCAGTCCAGTTCTTCTTTTACCTGTATGTCAGTGATTTGTCAGGCGTGCTGCCCATCAGTATGCTAGTGATTGGTCAGGTAGGCTGCCTGTCAGTCTGCATGTGATTGGTCAGGTAGGCTGCCTGTCAGTCTGCATGTGATTGGTCAGGTAGGCTGCCTGTCAGTCTGCATGTGATTGGTCCCGTGGGCTTCCTGTCAATTTGCTGGAGATTCGTCAGGTAGGTTACCTGTCAGTCTGCACATGATTGGTCAGGTGGGCTGTCTTGCCAGTCTGCTGGTGATTGGTCAGGTGGGCTGCCTGACAGTCTGAAGGTTAATTTCAAGGTGTGCTTGGTAGTCTGTAAATGATTGGTCAAGAGGACCTGCCTGTCAGCTTGATGGTGATTGGTCAGGTGGACTGGTCATTAGTCAGCGTGTGATTGATAAGGTGGGCTGCCTCTCAGTTTACAGTATTGGTGAGGAGGTGCTGCCTGATTGTGATTGGTCAGGTAGGCTGCCTGTCAGTCTACAGGTGATTGGTCAGGAGGGCCTACCCATCAGTCGGCAGTGTGTCCCATCACCCGGGCCACGTTGATTTTACCCAGCTCTGCGATTTCTCTGCCCCCGTTCGATTTTCCCCAGGGATCAACGGAAAGCTGTATGGAAACCTGCACGGTCTGACCATGCTGGAGGGGGAGAGGACGGACTGGTACCTCCTGGGGATGGGCAATGAGGTGGATGTGCACACAGTCCACTTCCACGCGGAGAGTTTCACATACAAGGTGCCCATCCTGCCCCGGCATCCTCACCATACACTGACACAGCTGGCTTCAGAGCCGCCCCGTAATAGGCCCCCCAGAATCGGGCATGGCTCTAAGGCCCACCGTGTAGTCCAAACATGTATTCTGTGCCAGAAAATCTAACTAAACTGGATGACATGGTGCGGTCAGGGAGGGAACGCCACCCGCCTGGCAGGCCTTGCTGGATGACATGGTGCGGTCAGGGAGGGAACGCCACCCGCCTGGCAGGCCTTGCTGGATGACATGGGGCGGGCAGGGAGGGGACGCCACCCGCC